AATAATGAAAACGATAAGAGTAGGAAATATAAGAAACGAAACGGTGTGGATGCTAAAGAAAAATGATGATAGGTACCTCAAAATATAATGCAAACGAAAATTAAGTGTTTTAAGTAATTCGAGAATATCTTAACAACCCCATTTTTGATAAGAATTATCAGTATTTTGAACAAAGTAAAGATATATTCAAAAGCTCTCATAATATGATGAGAAAAGACAAATATAAACGAGCACTAAACCATTATACAAAAGGAAACACTAAGTCGAATAGATGGATGAATAGATTTGGTCTGCGTGGTCTGATGGCTAAAACTTACATTGTACTGATTTGACCTCGCCTTCGTAACTTGATCGGTGTCAGAGAGGCCTTGTGGGACGTAACTAGTCCTGTGCAATGTCAAAAAATTAGTGATTTTCATAATCGTTTCAATAAGTTGGTAAGTTTCCAGACGTTTAGCTGGCATCGTCATTGAGGTGCCATAGCGGGCACAGAGCTACAACTTATCAAAGTGACGAGCTCAGACAGATCCCAAATGTCTGGCAATTTACCAGGTTAATGGTCCGATGCTGGAAACCATGAATACTATGGTAGAGGACTCAGGACTAGGTACGTTCTACAAAGTCTCCCCGACGCTCCGACTAATATACGACGAGGTCAAATCAACACTATAAACATAAGAGGCCTCGACCAAATAAGAGGCCACAGCAGCTTGGTCTTCATATCTATTATCTAAAGCTTACATTGCTGAAATAAAAACGAGGATGCCTAGGTCAGTCGCCTACTCTAAATGAATTCGATCATATTTTTCTATCTACTGCTTTTTAGTCGATATTCAGACACGCTTTGTCTTATCATTAAATTTTAAAATATGTTCGTCAGCACGATCATCAAGCTTTCCCTTACTATAACCAAAGCTTCAGGTGAACTGGTAGGTAGTATTGCGCCGGAATAAGCTAAAACTCTTTTGGCCAAGTGATAAAGCTGGTTATTTGCACTAGTAATACTAGAGCTGTCGACAGGTTATTTAAATGCTATTTCAGAACGTTGAGATGCCACATCGTGAGGAAAATAACAGAAACAGTAACAAAATTAAATCAGAAATAATCCGTATCATCAACCAGACAAATACCATCTAGTTGTGATCGATTATTAAAGTCTATTAATAAGGCGTCAGTGCGGTCAACCCCGCTAGCCTACTGAAGTAACGGTTTGATATGTCAGTTTTAATGATAAGTGCCGATTAGTCATAGAATCCTATAAAGCTCAACTAGTGAGAAAACCTGCAGAATAGACTAGAATTTAGGTCCCGGTAATCTTTCAGAAGGACAACAATAAAAAGGAATATGAATGCAAATATAATCACAAAGAAAATGTTTAATGAGAATTTTAATGCTTGATACTTTAAATTCGAAGATGAATCAAACAATGGGAAAGTTTCAGAGATTAAAAACGGCATAGGAGTAAAATTAAGGAACTTAAACAGCCTGTTTACTATCCGTCCTCCGAAGGGAGTTTATGAAATGAATCCTATCGAGAGGAAGTATGAATCGAATTTCAAAGAATGGACAAATTGAGTGAAACCTTTGAAAATTCTAGCAATAATATTTAAATTAAATTCGAAAAAATAAAGCAATGGTAAAAGCATAAAATACATCTTAATATATTCATGATCTTGAAGCCACGAGTTATTCTGAGTTATCAGTTGGAAAATTCACCATATGACGACATAAACGCTGGCAGTAGACAAGAATTGTTCATTAAAGTCTTCTTGCGGACACTCCCAAGAAATGAACAAGCTAGACAGTAAGAAATTGAGGTTGTTTGACCTTATTTTCGCAACATGGTGCTAAGAATGGCGAGACTCACTGTTGATGCCGACTACGATGCCGGCGAAACGTCTGGTAATGTACCACGTCCACGGCTCAACTTTGGAAATGATCATGCAGACAATGGACCCCGGACTAGGTGCGTTCCAATAAGTCTTCCTACCAATGGTTTCGAAAACAAGGTCAACAACCTCTATACAACGAAAGGAGACTGCGACCACACAAAAGGCCACACCATCTTGGTCTTCATACCTGAGTTGAAATTTTAATTAGCCGTGCTACCATGAAGACTTCGAAGAACGTAGCCTATGCTGCGTAGTCTACTGCCAGTCGTCCCTCCTTCCAGCAATGGGTATCCCCAAAAGTTTTGATAACATAGTATTGAGATGCTCCCACTCGGCGATCCACCTCACCCAAGTAATAGCTGATTCCTCATTTATAGAAAAAGTACACCTTATCCAACAGGAAAATTATACTCTCTTGATATAGATTAATTTATGTTTACTCGGGGAGTATGGCTATGCGGAGACAGTCATGTGAATATTCTTTGAGTATGATGGATATGTTAAGTTGGAGGGAACAAAGTCAATTACACAAAAGTAGATTTCCAGAGCAGAATGTACAAGCTTATAGAGATGTAGGCTGCCAAGTAGGATAAGAAGGCCCTGTGCTAGGATGGAAAATCAGAGGTGAAGGTGATTACGCCTTGCTAAAGATAATCGAATATATAATTAGAATCTATCAGAACAAATGAGGATACAAAATGGATCAGAAAGGAGACTTATCCACATGAATTTAGTGTGAGATGAGGATACAGCGTCATGGTATATAAAAGGATAAATGGAGAAATTATGTCAATCGACTCTATCGTCACTGCGAGAAGTTATATCTTGGTGTTAAGGAAAATGCTCATCGGTTACGATGCAGGTGAAATGTCTGCGAATGTAGAAATGGCGGTCCGAGCATGTAAAAACAATAGCAGAAACGCAGTCGGAAAATCTCGTCAGCCCAAAGACTTCTCCACATAATCCAACCATCGGCCTTTAATTGCTGCATTAAGGCAAATGCATCAATCAGCCGTCAGAATAAGTGGATTAAAATCCATTCCGGAAGTTGTTAGGATCCTAATGATTTTTGAATTAAACCCAAATTCAAAGCATATTAGAGACAATCATAGCATGCAAATCAAAGTAACTAACAGTAAAATAATTTAATTTTATGTAGGAAATACTAAAATAAAGCAAAAACTGAATAGGTGAATCACCTTAATCTCGGCCCTGGTGCTTGCTAGGCGACGGGTTTCAGGGTTGTAGGCAAAAACATAAAAGAAGCTATCTTCTTCTGGCTCAATGCGCTCGACCCAATCAACGCCCAAGGCGCTAGGTGCTCCTACTGCCGTCGTAGTGGTTAATCCTGAAGTGGTTGACGATGTTGACGACGAAGATGAAGCCCTATGACGCCCACTGACCTCGGATTTATGCGAATCAACGCCAATGTCGGAATGAGATGCAGGGGCCACAGAAAGCAATCCAAGCGTGACGCAGGGTAAGATTTCACTATTAACTGAAGCACTATTCGTTGCACTACTAGTGCTTACGCTAGTAGTAACTTTTGTCGATTTAGAAGAGGTAGTCACGATGGAAGGCTTCTTTAATGAAAAGGCGGTGAGAGCACTGGCCAAATCAGGTAGGTGACGCACTCGACATCTGCCTCGGAGCTGACTAGAAGGTAGTGTTTCTTGTACCTCTGATATAAAGAGCTCACGAGAAAGAAGCTAGCAGAAAGCGAGAAATAATTATGAAAAAAAATTAAAAGAGAAGAGGCCACGTGCAGATAGTAATGTATTCGATCATATGACAATCTATATTTTTATTTTAATGATCACTTTGTTGAAAATGTCTCAACCAATTCTGCAGTTACCTGTCATTTAAAAAGAATTAGTCTATAGTCAGAATTTTATGATTACAGTGAGTGATAAAATTTATATT